CATTAGGTCCTAAGTTTGCACAGCTCCTTGGCTCTACAGTCCCTGATCCCTCCCCTGCATCTGTGGCTGGCTCACCCTGAGGGGTCCCAGTGAAAGCAGAGCAATGTGGCTCTTCCTGAGCAGTGTTGTGCAGCCTGCTCCTCCTTGACCACTTACTTAAGTGCAAGCCACATCCCCTAGATGAAAGCCTGTAACAAACTCCAAACCTGCCAAATGCCTATGGGAACAGGATGCGTCCCATGCATTGACTCTTACATTTATCTGGATGGGAAGTCAGGACAGTACTCTGTGAAAAGTGTTTGAACTAAATGCTCCTTTGCAAGGTGTTTGAGATCTACAGGTAGAACATGCAACAAAATAGGAATAGTAAGCTTACAGACGTGTTTGTATGCAATGTATATTTATATAGTCCTTGCTAAGTGGTGGATTGAGGATAGGTTTTATTCCTCAAAATGGTTACTATGATATATTACCACTTTCAAAAACTGTATTGCACAATTAGGAAAAGGTTTTTTATATATTTTAACAATTGTGATAATTAACTGGCATTGAGCTTCCTTTGTCTTTTCTGTGCCCTTTGAGTTGAGGTAGACTGGCAGAATCATGGAGGACTAGAATCGTGTGTTGTAAGCCTCAGGCTCCACTCTTCCATCCTGGCTTCTGACTACACAAAACAAACCTGCCATGTGTTATCTGCTGTCATTCTGACTGCTGCTTGCAATTTCTTCTTAGCTTGGACTCTTCTGGATTTTTAGAGCTGCATGAAGGACAGACAGTGGGCACGGGTGGGTGCTTCTGTATCTCTGGGATCTGTTGAGGATGGTGTCCACCATGCCACATGAAATTCCCTTCAAAATCACTCACAGAAGAAAAGTTGCTCACTCATTACAGAATTGGGGAAGGCTGAGCCTGCCCTATGTGTGCATGACAGGTATATCTATTTAATGAACCATGCATACTTGCTTAGACTGCTAGCAGGCTTAGAGCTATATTTACTACTCAGCTGTAGCATGTGCTCATGATTTTCTGATGTGTGTTTGTAGATTAACCTGATATCTGACTTCTTTTCTTTTTTCTACCCCTACCTTTATTTTTCTATGCCTCATCTCTCCTCTCATTGCCTAGCTCTATTTCTGTTTCTTCCTTTTTCTCTCTGCCTCCCTCTTTCCATCTCTACCTCTTTCCCCTCTGTCTCACACCTCTTTCTCATTTGCACTCCCTATTTATAGTGTCTATTGCTATAAAGCCCTCAAGACATTTATGATAAAATGCAACGTACCCACCAGTAGAGTAATTCTGGCAGAGCCTACTCCTCACCAGACAGTTCTGGAGAAAAGTGAGCCCAAGAGACAGAGCCAGGATTTTCTTTAGTGTCTTTCTATTGACCAACACTGCCATGAAGAATCTCAGCAGATTCAAGGTGTTAGTATCTCACTAACACTTTAGTGTTTAAGGAACTAAATGAGGACCAGCTCCCAAAAAGATCCCTTGCAGGACTAGTGCTGTTTTATGTTTCAGAGAGGCTGGTTATCTTTCTCCTTTGTTGCTGGTGTGTTCCAAACATTAGTGTGCATTAGAACCATCTACAAGGCAAATGTTACTATATACTATATAGTCTCAATAAACCTGAATTTTAAAAAAATCACTGGTAGAGCTTGTCTTACAGATTCCCAAGCTCCCTCCAAAAATCCTAAATCAGTAGGTATGAGGTGGGGTCCATGATGTTGGCTTTCTAACAGGCTGGAGGATGTGAAGCATTTGTTCAGTCAACAGACTGCACATGGAGGAGCTGGGCTCAGAGCCCTGAGAAGGGTGTTCTTCTCATGCTTGATGATGGGGCATTCATATGTCTTGCTGCCGGGCAGCTTAAACCACCAAGTAGTACATGCGTGACTGTCCCATAGGACAATTTTTAAATTAGTTTTATTAGTAAAAAGACTGGTTAAAGTGATCAGACCTGTTTGCACCACCAGTGGAATAGCTACCTGATGGGACAGTCGTGAATGCACCACGGGTGGTTCAAGCCAGCAGGAACACGTTAAATAGCCTTTTGTGGAGTTTATCAAAAGCCTTTTTCAACATGTATATCAAATTAGATCTGATTGTCTCTGCGTCCTTCAACTCCCGTTGGCCCCTTGATGATCTCTATGAGCACAGAGAAACCAATGATGTTAACTATAGTGACCCTTTTTGCTTCTATTTAGCATCCCCAGCATCCACTGCTGGGAGAGAGCAGGGCTGTTCATTTGCCCCTGACCCAGGCCTTGAGGTGACTGTAGTCAGCCAAGGGCACTGAATCACAGCAGTTCAGAAACTGCTGCTCCACAAAATCTTGCAGCCAGCAGCCCGGGGCTGACAATGCCAGCAGGCTCCAGGCTTCTCTGCTTTTCCTCACATGAAGAGTAATTGTCAGTAAGGGCTGAAAGGGACATTTTGACTATTAGTTACACTTCACTGAACTCGAAGGATGAAAGAGTGTCACACTAAGGGCTTTTACACGGGGGTGGGGGATTCATTAACATTTTAGGTTTACAAGTGAGTATACTCGGAGCCAACCACTGAGTGGTTTCTACCTGTTTTGTAGAGTATAGAATTTAAGCATGACCCCGCTAAACCTCAGAGCCATCCTGGAGGTAGGTAGACACTCCCTCCTATCTGAAGATACAGAAACCAGAAGCCAAGCACTTTATATCTAGGTGACAGAGACTGGATTCAAATCCAGGCTCTTCTGACTCCAAAGCATGTGCTTTTCACTACTACACACACTCCTGCCTCCCATATCAAGGGTTCTCTTGTACTTTTAGCCTCTACTTTTTCCACTAGAATGACAAGATTTCTAAAATTATGATACTTCTAGAAGGAATTCATGAATAGAAAGAAAGCAACATGAGTTATACCTTCAATGATGGTCTAAAACTTCACAATAGGAAATGATCTGCCCTTTCTCAGTGTGCAAAAACTCCAGGAACATTTTTTTTTCCCAAAAAAACTAAGTGGGAAAGACTCATTCCCCAAATGCCTAGAACACAGGCAGAAGTAGATCTGAGCAGAGATCTACATCTGCTGTGCTGTGGTTCAAGAGCTGCCCACTGCACGTTGAGGGTTACTTAGAATGAGGCCATGGGAAAGAATAACACAAGCCAAAGTGATCCCTTTTGGTGCTGGTCAATGGGTATGGCAGGGAGGCATGTGACAGGACCCCTCAACTAGCTGGCTATTCTTATTCCTGCCTGCAAGTAGGAAAGACAGCCCCTGAGAGGTTCAGTGTCCCTACCCCAGCCTGTGAGCATTGTGGTGCCAGCTTTTTGAGGAGGACCTAACTGCCCCTTCCTGGCTTCCCCAGTAGGACTGTGCTGCTCTCACATGGATTCCTTTGCCTTAAATAAACTTGGTAGCCTCAGTGCTGAATCTACCACCAAGAGAAGCCCTGCTATGGTTTGGTTTTTGCCCTTCTTGGATTTCTTTGGCTCTAGATTTCATCTGCATTTTTCTACTTGAATTGTACTCTACAGACCACATTAGAAACCCACTAATTTCACCGAGGGTGTATTGTGAACATCCTTTGCATCACTGACTAGTTTGCTTTCCATCAATTTACTGGCTATAGGCTCCCTTGTACCATTCTGGTGTTTTGCTTTGAAAACAGATTTTTATGAAATCTGTGTTTAAAAAAAGAAAAAGATCCCTGTCACTTTGCAAAAGTGAAATCAGGGATTGAAATAATAAAACTGCTCTGGTATCTTTTGGATTACACAAAATCTTTTGAGGGAATTGTTTTGTTGTCAAAAGAAAAATCGAAAAAGCACATGATGGAAGTGCAGTGTCCTGTACTGAGATTAGTTAGGAAGTGAGAGCTTCAGAGGGGATTCCTAGTAGAGACAGGAAATCCAGCCATCGGGGGCTCTACCCTTCCTTTTTTTTTTTTTTTTTTTTTTTTTTTTTTTTTTTTT